GCTTTTTCTTGCAGTCAGGCATGATCAGATGATTTTACGATAAAAAAAAACCTTGTTTCTTGCTATCTCTTTTTTTGTCTCTATATTTGAAATAAAATAAAGATTCTCAAACTACTGAGGAGTAAGGAAGGGTGCATTTTCTACTCGTACAACTTTGAGAGACCACTGGCCATTGTGCATCAAAATTACTGATCTGATTTATTATATTATGCAAGGTTTGTTCAGATCCTGCTATTGAATACACATAAAAAAAAAAGACATATGCTAGTTCAGGCAATGGTGCATTCAAAGCAATTCTCTTGAGACCTGGCTTATGGCCCCCTCATGTTAAAACACCTGTTTCCATATGATCATCAAAGTTAAGCAATGCTGATGGGTATCTGTTTGGGAATACCAGGTGCCGTAAGTTTGGATGTGGGATTGGTGTAGTAGTTAATGTTAATTGTTAATCAGAGAGAAGAGTTCCAATCTTAGTTGGGTTTATTATATTCACTTATATGTAAATGCTCTTAGGAAAGGTATGAATCCACCTCTTCCCCCCACAGCTATGAGTTAATTAGTAAGATTTGTATCACTAAGAACATTATTATTTCTCCCCACACCCAAATTCTTAGAATCTAAAAATATTTTCTGGCTTTGAACAACCTGCAAAGTGTTGATAACCCATAGAAGATGAATGAATCAATCAATCAGTCTTGGGACCTCATAAATTTATTCCATCATCCTTTTCACTTTTCAAAGCAGTCTGCAAAGTCCTCTTTCATGATTGCTATCAGCTCCCTGATTGTGTTCTTAATTTTGTCTGTTGTCTGAAATCATTCTTTCAACAGCAGTTCTGTCTTTGAGAAAAGCCAAAAGTTAAATGAATCTACATAGGAACCATAGTCATCTAACATACTTGGGGATGCAATATTTTGCTGACGAATTTGGCATAGGAAGTACAGAAAGAACAATGATATTGTCATCAGGAATGCAGCACTTGCATAGTGCACAAGCTCACTCAAAAGTGTTTTGTTGCTGACTGAGTCACATTATTCTATAGTGGCGTGGGGCTTAGTGGTTAAAATGAACAGTTGATTTACCCACATGAAGAAGATTAATGAAGGATGATAATGACGAGGGAACATATAGGTAATATTAACAAAACAAGATCAGGAATTTATTTATGAATTTACATGATTGTAGTTGTGGCAGTAACTCATTTCAGGAAAATAAATCAGAATTTTTTAAAATCTGTAGTTTTAACAAAATTATCATGAAGAGGAAATGTTCATAGAACAGATTAAATGAGCTGACACAAAATAATATTCAAAAATGTTTAAGACAAAGGTAAGAGTGTTTGTTGCTCACTGAAGAGATATATGATTTGCATATATTCAAAAGTAAATGAAGAGAGTTTGAAATACTTAGCTTTCTTGGATTGTTGAGAGAAAATTCTTTGAAGAGCTGTGAGATTAGTTAAAGGCTGATATTATAATTGGTGAATAATTTTACACTGTCAAGAACTTGAACACTGATCATGAGGAACTGATACAAAACCTTTCACATGACTTCACTCTTATTAATTTTATTTTTCTCATTTTTTTATATCAAAAGAAATTTTGCATAGGCTTGCTACATTTTTTCTTTTGTCTTCTTGGCTCAGTGGCTAATTTCTGTGAAAAAATTAGTCCAAAAATAATTTCACATAGGTTCACAAGTTTATTTCCTTCTTCTTTTCAGCTCACCAATCAATTTCTGTGAAGGCAAGGTTTTCATTGGTTCTAAGAAAATTTTACATAAACTCATGAATTCCTTTCTCTCTTTTTTCATAGCTCACCTGAATTTGAAAAGAGTGGGTAAAGGGAATTATTATTTTGCACTCACTACAATTCATGCATTAAGATGCTCTCTCATTGGTTGCCAAGGTACATCAAAACCCTGAAATTTAAAATGGATGGATACTTGCCATATATGGCTGTCTTGGATTTAGTAATTGTCTAGAATTTTCAATTCAAATATTACATTAACTTTAATGAACATCAGCCAACTAGTTGAGTTTTACTTGCAGGTTGCTATCACATGTGGTTTTGTGCTCTGATTTCAAAGAACTAATACGCAAGTGAATTGACAGCCATATATATAAAAAATAAAATAAAATCTTTGAATTTCTTTGCTGCATAAAAAAAATAATGTAAAAAATTGTCTTTCTCTTTTCCTGTTCTTTTCTTTCACTGTATATTTCCAAAACATTATTTAAATTTATCATTTCTTTCTTTTGCAGGTAAGTTGTATATTTTAACGTCTGAATTCCCATCCGAGGGCAGGTAACTCTTAATTTTTCTTTTCATCTGTGTTTTTTTTTTCTCCTGTTTTGTTAATTTGTTTCATTTTGCATTTTTTCTGTAACAGGATGAGCTGCAATACTTGCAGTTCTATATTTGGGCATATGCAATTTGATCAATTCCAACACCACTGCTGTGAATCTAAGTTAGAAAACTAAAGACACACTTGATTTTGGAACTTCTAAAAAAAAATAAAAGATACACAAAAGACTAACTTATGAAAGTTTGAAAACATGCTCAATATTTTTTTCTTTTCTTTTTTTCAGTGGTTTTAATTTTATCTATTGAAAGAAAGTTCTGCCATGTAAAAATAAACTTATACATTACTGGCTAATTTAGATGCATGAGAAATTGCATATAAAGTATTGTACTTTATGATGCACTTATATCTAGGCCAAAGCTATGTTCAAGAGAGTGAGTTAGTTTGCTATATTGCTACTTATGTGAGTTTTACTACTGATAATACTATGTATTTTTTTAATCATTTCACCCCAAGCAAAGTGATAATGCCACTAGGATGCAGAATGTTAAAGGAAGTGAAAAAGAATGAGAAGACTTTAGTGAGGAGAAAGGGCAATAAAGGAACAGGTTTCAGGAAGACAGAAGATAGTGAATGATGTATTAAATTTTTGTAGTTATCAGGGAAGCAAGAAATCAGAAGGGAGTTCAACAGATGAGATGTGCAAGAAAAACTGTTAGAAGTGGTTAATGCATCCAGAGAAAAACAATGAGACCTAGTTTCCAATCTAGGATCATACTTAAATTTGTGTAGTCAAGGCACCAGTGAAAAAAAGTACTATAACCGATAACACTGGTGTTTCATTTATTCTTTTCAAGTTTAACATCTCGAGCACTGGTATATATGGTAACACTTTAGATACAATATCTTAATTTGATTCATCACAGATATACCTATCAGTCTAAACTTATGTCTACCAATGTTTAATATTGAGAAATATGCTAATAATACTATGTATTCTACTACAACCAATAACATTGGTGTATTATTTATTCCTCAGTCAAGTTGGTTAACAAAAGGTCTCAAACTGTAGCAAAAATAAAAACTGAAACTTCTGACATTTGAAAGAAATAACACATTCTCACTCCATAAATTAGATTTTTAATAAGATACCATGAGTCATAGTAATATGACCAGAAGTTGCAGTGCTTTTATTTTTGACTAGCCTGGATGTTTACTTTCAAGTTAATCTTTTCAGGTGACAGGACTTTTTCTATTTTGGTTCATGTGAATTCTTCAAATAAATGCATCATTAGAAATATCAAGCAATAGAAAGAGATAACCATGTCGCCAATGTGCTGCTTAACAATTACTATTTTCAACGATTCAATATTTCTTCTGTTCTTTAAGCTGCAGAGTTTCCAACAGCCCAAATAAGCTTCTTTTTAAATTAAATTTCATCTTCACTGAAGCATCATAATTTTCATTATAAAAATATCTCTCGTCATCAAAATCAAAAAAGTTTTACTTTTTGGCTAGCATTATAGGATACAGCAGATTTCATCCCGACTTTTATATTAGGAAGTATTGTCCCAAACAGGGATGAGGAAGGAGAAATCTTATGATAGACAACATTACATTTTATATCTACATGCTATGTTCTTTCTAGATATTAGCTGATATGGCTCTCCATAACTTTTGTCTTGTGTTCTTTTAAGTAATACATGCACCATTATGTCCTCACTTTGTCCTTGTGATACCTTATCGATCATCCATTTAGTGAAGCTTATCAAGTAGATTTCTTGTTGCTTCTCTTGCCTTTCATGTGCTATATGAGTATTAAAATCTCTAAGCTTTTTTCCTCTATGTATCTCCAAAATTCAAGCTGACTCTTTCTAAATGTTAGCAGTTGTTATAGACAAGCATATGGTTGCAAGAAGGAAATACGACAACAGTAGAAATAGATTTACGTGATTTATTTCAATAGGAACGTGTGGTTTTGGGACAGCTACCTTGTGGTATAGTTCATAGGCCGGCTGAAAATCTGGGTTGATCTCTCATAGTAGTTCTTGCTGGTTGGCGTGGGGCTACTGCTGCTGGCTGCTGCTAACCACTCAGCCTGACCGTGACAGGTCTCTTCCCTGGCCTCCCGTTGACTGCCGTGTGACCCCTTTTATGGCTTAACAGGCTCGAGAAACGACGATAGAAACACTTTAAAATATTATTTTATTTTTCGACTGAAACTTGTGCGTCGGGAACATGCGTAAACAAAGATAATGGTCATTTTGTGATGGGGCCTTGTCTCGTTCACATCCGGCTCTCGCTCTTGAGTATGTTAGTTTATTAGCCTGTAAATCAGCCAAGATATGTCTTATTTTATTTTATAACACAGTCAATTCCTTTTAAATTGATTGGTTTGTTTTCTATGGCTTACCAACCTTTGCAGGTTATTTAAAACCAGGATATATTTTTAGATTGTAAGGATTTTGTTTTGTTTTTTTTGAGATAATAATGGTTTAGTGATACATATCTTACTAGTTAAGCTATAGCTGGTGGGGAGTAGAAAAGATGCATTCATACCTTCCCCAAGGGTATTTGCCCAATACCATTTGGGTTTGTTATATTCACTTATTATAATGAACCCAAATGGAATTGGAACTCAACACTCCAATTAATGATTCCAAGCCACTATCCATTACATCACTTGCATATCCAAGCTTACAGCACCTGGTATTCTCAAGTGGTTACCCATCTAGGTACTGACCAGGCTTGACATTGCTTAACTTTGGTGATTGTAAAGGAACCAATGTTTTAATGTGATATGGCCATAAGCATATGTGATACTTGACTTAAATTAGATTTGGTTATTATTCAATGCTTTAACATGGCAGTGATTTCATAAATTTTAAGTGTATATCACTAAGTTTGTCTGAATGCATGAAGTGGTATATAGACCCATTTATATATTTTTCCTTTTATGATGAATAATTGTATGGGAACCTGTTTTTCAACATAATGTGGCTGTAAGCCTATTCTATTAAAATCCTCATAAATTCTCATATAATCTATCCATTGTATACTCAGCATTTGTCATTATGTATAGCAGTTCAGTATTCTTTTCTTTGTATATAAGAATATTTTTCAGTCTTTTAATTCTTTGCTTAGGTTCTCAAAATTATCTTCTATTACTATGCATCTGTGGATTCCTGGCATCATCTTTTAGAATATTATCCTGATAATGAAAAATTTGCAATTGCTTACTTTTGATGTTTCTGATGTGTAGCTCATACTTTGTGTCTGAATTTCTACATACAGACGATCACAGCTTACAAGAAATTGAATTTTGTTAGCTATCATTTCTAACCAATCAGAAAAGAGAAAAAAATTCTTGTTCAATTAAAAAGCAGTTAATCAATACACTGTAGAAGGATGTGTACAAATGATAAATAATCCCAATTCTGCTTCATTTTTTCTTCATCTTTCAATGACAGTGACGAGTTCCATTTTCATATCTCTGTATTGATGAGTGAAAATGTTCTTGAAATAATTTTAAACTTTCTAACAAAACACTTTTCTCCAAGACAAATAAGAAGAACCAACAACCAAAATACATTGAAATGAGAAGAATTATCATGCCCAAGTCTAAAACTGATAATATTATTTTATGGTGAATATCACTTATATCTCAAAAAATATATCTAGACAAAATCTGTGGTATATTACTGTTTTATTTTCATAAACCTATTAGCAGGGATACTTGAAATTGGCCCAAGATAAATAACTTCTAGCATAACAACAGAGGAAAAATATATTCTTTAAAATATTTTATTGAAAACTTGATATCTAGTGACATCCAACAACTTTGGAGATTAGAATCACTTATCCTATTATTTTTCTGCTCAAATTACTGCCAGGAAAGTAAAAGCTGCAAACCAATTCTACGTAATTCTCTGAGGATTTTGGAGGTCAAATTTGCACTTATTAGATCGAAAATTTTTTTGTACTTCATAACAAATTCAATATCTCACTCTAATTTGCTAAAAGTTGCTTCATTTGACTAGAAATAGCATTATGTACTCTTTGATGACCTCTGGTGATCTCCTCCAAAATATATCTTGTATGGCCTACGTCACAGCTGGATGTTTTGTGCAAATTAGGTAAATGGGTTTTGTAATTTGAGCATGATTATAGCCCAGGTGCATAAACAGAAACCTCTATTTGTATCAATAGCATGAAGACTCAAGGTGGAGATATTGCAATGGAAAAGAAAGAAAAGATTTACAGGTAGACTTCAGTGCTTAGAACATAGGACTACAATTCTGCAGGTCTGTTTCAATCTCATATATTTGACTGAAAAAATTATTTAACATGCACTCATGTAAATCTTGTTTGAAAGAATAATCAATGATTCCTCAATCAATATATTTCTTGTAAAATCTATAATAGATGTAACTGTTTAAGTGAGATCTCTCACATAAAGTGTAATCTTATTAATTGATCTCCATAATGGGTAACAGCATTTTTCTATTATTTCATGTGCTGGTTAGGTAGTTATGGAGGAATGGTTTTCCCAAGTGCTCACTTACTATCTTTTCATGAAAGCAAGTTAAAAGTAATTTTCATGTTTGCTTATCCTCCGGTTTACATTCCTCCCCAGTTTTTTTGAACAGGAGTAGAGGTTTACTCCTTGTTTCAGGTTTAGGACCGGGTTTCTGCTTCCTTCTAAAGTCTTTTCATTTCCTTTCACTCCTAGTAGCTCAGTAGCATTGTCTCCTTGCTTGGAGGGAAATGATTAAAAAAATGTCTTTAAGTAATAGGACAACAACAAATGGTGGTGTAAAGAAACAAGAAAATATAGGAAGCTGTGGAGAGCTATGATCAAAATGAGACAAAATATCTGCTAAGAAATTAGGTTCACTGTGTCATGCGAGACAATTTTTCACTTCAGCATCTCTCTTGTATATCTATAAGTCTACTATTTGCCCTTGCTTAGAATGTAGCTGCCACACAAGGTCCAGTGTTCCTGCTATATATCTAGTGATCCTTGATAAAATCCAAAGAAGAATCACCAATATTACTGGTCCTGGACCTGACATCTTGGCTTCAATCACTTTCCCACTACCTTAAAGTTGCCTCTCTGTGCCTTTTCTATAAATACTTTCATGACAAATGTTCAGATTAACCACCTTGTTATGGTACCTGGACTTTATGAATTTAAGTTTAGTACTAGACTGGTGACAAGGTTTCACCAATTTAACATTGAGTTGGTTAGGTGTAACCATAAGTTCTATGCTAACAGTTTCTTTTCTCACACTTCTCACTTGTGGGACGCCATGCTTTCCAGTCAACTTTAATATTCAAAAATGCAATGTCAATGGCTATTTACTCTCCTCCTGTTTACTCTTCTTTTGTTCTCACTCCTTAGTAATGTTTCTGTTTTCTAATTCTTCCCCACCCAGTAACCACTTGTGTCTCAGTGGCTTTACTCCCTTGCTTGTGGTGAACTCAATTAAAAAAAAAAAAAGAGGAATGATTCATACTTTAGCAAAAAGCTACTAGTGTTAAATGAACAATATCATAGGAAATGCACCTCCAATCATATTATTTACATGAAATATCTATATGTCCATGTGTTTATTACTGTTAGATATACTGTAGTACAATTTTTGTTTGGCTATCCAATATGGGGACTAGTTTCCAATGAAGTTTTAATTAAGTATAAATTGATTATAAAATTAAATCTATATTTAATTTAAAATTATATCATGAATAAAATAACATCTGATCTTCTCACGGGGGATAACTTCAGGTCTGCTAACTGATAATAACAGTCATTTCTCTTAATAAGAAGAGGAATAAGCAGAGATGAATACTAGATATATATATATGCACTCTTTTAATAATAGTAATTAAAGTTTAATGTTAATTATCATTTGATAATAATTATACAGTAAATTTACTGGTTTACCAAAGTTTGTATATTAGTCAGTTATTAATAAAATATGCAATATTGTTAAAGTGAAATATATCAAGATTTCTAGAAGAGTAGAAAAAGAAAAAAAAACAAAGAGAAAAGAATGATAAATAGGGGAAAAAAGTAATTAACATCAAATTTTTTCTTAACAATTTTTTAAGCCTTAAGAAAGAAAATATTGAGCAAGAATGAAAAAAAGAGGGAAATGTGTTTAAATTAAACATTCACATATGACAAAGGAAAAAAATGTGAAATATAAGGAATAATATCAGAATTTGGTTTGTTTGATTCAATTCTTGACTTCAGAAACTCTACCTTTGAAAGAGATTCCTCTCTCTCTCTCTCTAATATATATATATATATATATATATATATATATATATGAATATAATAGGCATGTGTTTGCACATGTATGTATGTATATATTCTATATATTTGATTGAGACAACACAAAAACAATTTGATCTTTCCGGTGGCATAATCAAATTAATCATTTCAATTTCAGAAAATTTTATATTCAACAGAGAATAAACTATAAAAGTTTTTTTTTTAATTCCTGAAATACATGAGTGCTATATTTTATTTTGCAATCAGTGATTGTATGTGAAATAAAATTATTATTAATTCAATGCATAATTACATCAACATGTCTAGAGTCTATTTTTTTTTCCTTTTGCAACATATCAAATATATTAATATCAGTCGAACTTCTGTGAATTAAAATAAGACACTCAGCATCATTGAGAAGTTAATTTGATATGCCATAAAGATATAGAATTTATGGACAGGTCACTATTAGGTAATGGTTAATGAGCTACTTTACACAAACTGTTACTACTGAGTAGTCAATCCTCACTGGGTGTCTCCCACTTGTGACCTTGGACCACAATAAGTTAAACTTAGTAAATCATTATCTTTTTCACATCCTACCAACACTTTCATTTATATCACACACATTATTCCTCATAATCATTTTAATAGTAAACCTCTACATTAAGTGTCTCTCAAACCTTGTATTGGGTGAATTCTAGTATAATATTATTATAATATTAATATTAATAATAATGCATTAATGCAGGTGTAGGTCAGTTACAGTTGATATATTATAGTGTTATTGTGAAATCCATGATCTTTTTGATGGCTGCATATTTGATGTGCTAAACCAAGACTACATATGGTTTTAAATTCAGACTTGTCCTAGATTGGTTGTCAACCAAGGCTGAAGAACCCAGCCTGCCCTAATATTAACCCATAGCTGGAGTGGATAAGATATGGATTCATACTTTTTCCAAGGGCATCTGTGTGAAAGTGAATGCAATGAAAGTCAACTGTAATTTGAACTAAGCTTGCTGATTTCTCACTTCATGCTTTATAACATCTGCACATCCTTTCTAGTGTGTGTGTGTGAATATATACATATATATATATATACACACACACACACGTACGTGTGTGTGTGTGTGTATTTGGGCAGCAATCCCTCTTTTATACAGGTTTCATCAAAAATGACTGACAATGTACTGTAGCTAAGTTTTTTATTTAATTTTTCTTTTGTTCTTATAATTTTTTTCTTTTCTGGATATAAAATATTGTAGAAATTGTCTAAATGTTCTATATGTACAAGCAATTTCGGCTATACTTTTAGCCATCATCAAGGATGATTTTATTTTTACTTTTAACTGAATGCATGGATTGTTTTATGTATGTATCTAGAGTTATAGGAATGATCTATATTCCATAGACAGTCAGCGCATTGTGGCCAAGTTCATAGTTGATATTATCTAGATAAATATATAAAACAATCCATACATTAAGTTAAAAGGAAAAATAGAATCATCCTTGATAATGGCTATCGC